AAAACAAAACATTTAAGGAAAAATTTAAAAACCATTAATGAGCCATTTACAGTAATCTTCAGAGAAAATTCAATCTGCTTCGTAAGCCTGAAAATCTGAATTCCATTCCCATAACCTTCATGAAGGTGAAGAAGAGGGTTGACACCACAAAATTACTCCCACACGCTTCAAGTGATAAAATGAAGGACACACAAACATACATCATATGTACAATAAAGTGAAATAAATAAAAAAACACAGGCCAGTGAGATGGTTCAGTGGGTAAAAACTCTTGCTTGGCAAGCCTGATGATCTGAGTTCAATCCTTAGAACTCTCTTACAAAAGATAAAAGAGATACAAGGGAAAAGTTGGCTGAAGGAGATACTGATAATAACCTCATAAATATACACATGCACTCAGACATGTTTTGGGGTTTTTTTGTTTGCTTTTTCTTTTTTTGGGGGGGGGTGTTTCGAGACAGGGTTTCTCTGTGGCTTTGGAGGCTATCCTGGAACTCGCTCTGTAGACCAGGCTGGTCTTGAACTCACAGAGATCTGCCTGCCTCTGCCTTCTAAGTGTTGGAACTTAAGGCATGCACCACCTCCCAGCTTTTTTTTTTTAAGCCAAGTTTTGGTATGTTGCCCAAGCTGGCCTCAGGCTTCCAAACTCAAGCAATACTCCTTCCTACCTCTGGCTCAGATATAACTACAATTACAGGTGTACCCATTTTATAAATCTAAAATTACACTAAAATAACAAGTGTATTAAAACCTGAGCATGTGGGCTGGAAAGCTGGGTCAGTAGTGAAGAGCACCTGGGTTTAACCCCTAGCACCCACATGGTAGCTCACAACTATCTGCAGCTCCAATTCCAGGGATCTGACACTCTCACACAGACATATACACAGACAAAACACCAATGAACATAAAATATAGAGGGAGAGAGGAAGAGAGAGAGGAGGAGGAAGAGGAAGGAGGAGGGCGGAGGAGGGAGGAGGTAAAGGAGGGAGAAGGAGGAGGAGGCGGACCTGGGCACATGCTGGAGTGGAGCTCAGCAGGCAGTGTTTGCTCAGCATTCACAAAACCCTGGGTTCAGTACTCAGCACCAAATAAAATAAGAGAGATGGTGCTTGCCTTGTAATCTCAGCACTGGAGGTGGAGGTAGGATAATCCAAAATTCAAGGTCATCCTCAGCTATATAGCAAGTCTCAAAAAAAAAAAAAACAAAAAAACAAAAAACTAACAACCTTGCCTCAGACCCTAGGTTCAAGCCCCAGTACCAGAGTGGAAGAAAAGGGAAAAAAGAGTAAGTCAATGAACCTAAAAATAGGGGAAAAAAATTACATTAGGAAAGGTTCTAGCGCGCGAGCACACACACACACACACACACACACACACAGAGAGAGAGAGAGAGAGAGAGAGAGAACAAGTTACAAAGAGCTAATAATACAGCCTACTGATAAAGTGCTTGCCTATCATGAACAAGACCCCAGATTCAATCCCAACACTGAAAAAGAACAAAAGAAAATTACAGATTATCTCTAGCTTATATTGGTTTGACTTACGACACCTCATGATGGTGTCAAAATGATAAGGTACTCAGTACTACTTTGAACTTGAAAACCCCATCTTTTCCTACACTAGTGATGCTTGGTCTAACTCTTCAATGCTGGCAGTTGGTTTTAAGTCACAGCTGGTTGCAAGATCCAATGTAAACAACTGACACTCTAACAGTGATCCATGATGCTAATATAATGGTCAAAACCATAAGTGTATTAAGCGCATTTGGTATAGAATGTTCTCATTTTATGAGAAGCATTATACCAATATAAGGAATAACAGAGGTAACAAGGACTAGAGAGAGTGACATCAGTAAGACCTCAATAGACATTAAAGGGAAGTCTTGGGCAGCCAGGACACAAACAACAACTATGACAGGCAACTAAAACACAAAGGCTACCAAGGCACTTTGCCTTTTAATACAGGAGATATTTCCACCTCGCATTTCAGCACATAGAATTGTTAAGAGTGAATTTATGCTATCCCCAGTTATATAATGTGACTACCCTTTCCTGGTATGCCCATGTCAAACCAGAAGGCACTAACAGAGATAGTTTGTCTGAAGCCATCTGACCAGGGATAACAAATCAGTTATAAAGCATCCAGTTTTACAAGAGCTCAGATAACAGGGCACCAGTGAGTAGATGATGGTGGGCATGGCCATACTTGCATGTCTGCCCTTGTTCTTCTGAACTGGGAGAAGCACTAATGTTTATAGCCTCATCTTACACATCTTTGATGAACAGTGGGTGGCCACGAAGACCAAGATAAAGCTCAACATAAAGGAAAGCTGCCCATGCAGGGCTTCTCTATCAAGTTGGACCACAAGAAGAATGAAAGGAAGAAGTAAGAGCCACTTCTGGAACAGCTCACGTCCAGCAACTCAGCATATTTACTAGAAGCCCAAATGTCAAACAGTACTGATGCCAACAAATGACACACATAATAAATAATAATAATAATAAATTACACACAAACTCAAACAATTAGATGAAACAGACCAATTCCTTGAGGACCATTTGTACTGATAGGCTGTTGCTGTGATAAACACCATTAACCAAAGACAATTTAGGGGAGGAAAGGGCTTATTTTAGCTTCCAGGTTACAGTTCATGATCAAAGGAAGTCATCTAGGAGCCCAAAGGAAAGGGCTTATTTTAGCTTCCAGGTTACAGTCCATGATCAAAGGAAGTCACCTAGGAGCCCAAAGCAGGAACCTGGAGGCAGGAACTGAAAATGAGGCCATGGAGGAAATATGCTTATTGGCTTGCTCCCTGGTTCTCATTCAGCTACCTTTCTCATACAGCCCAGATCCAAGAGTACTGTGGAATAATCCTTTTGTACACTGTGAAGATTTGTTATTGGTCATAGTGAGAAAATTCAAAGATCTCTTTCTAAAGGAAAAAAGGGGATACAATGTAGAAATGATAAGAAAAAAAGGGTAGATTACTGATTCTATTTTTAAACCAAAAGAGCAACTACTAGTCCTAAATATTACATTGGGACTGGGTGGTGGTGGTGCACACCTTTAATCCCAGCACTTCGGAGGCAGACGCAGGTGAATCTCTGTGAGTTTGAACCCAGCCTGGTCTAGAGTGAGTTCCAGAAATCCTGTCTCCAAAAATCAAATAACAAACAAAAAGAAATATTTTACATTGGTATGCATTTTTGTATACTGACACAAATTTAATTTTATTATACTGTATGTATGTTTCTACTCTCGTTTGAGTTATTGTGCTTATGCAACTCATTTTAAAATGTAATGTGTAATTTAAAACTGCAGATTAGTAGTCATCTACAATAGTCAAACTTATAGTCATGTTAGGTATGTTCTCAAGGTCATAAATGGATATATTTAGATAGATGATCTTCAAACACTTCACAGACCTACCAAATATGGCATTTAATATGTTTAATAACCTAAGGCTTTTGATGACAGTGAGACACTTCTGCTCCTGGCAGCACTACTCCAGAGAATATAATGGGCATCGAAGAAACTCCATAAAGAGTTTGTTTTCATTATGGCAAAAGCTATCCATGTGGGGAAAAAAATTAAAACAAAAACACCTTGCTCTTGCCTCAACTGCTGACAGTACGATGTCCAAATTAGACAAGGACACAAAGGAAAGGCAACTGCCGAACTTTACCAAAACAGGGTAAGACAGTCCTTCAAAATTTCCTGCTTCTGAAAAAAAGTCTGTGAACATTCTAGGCTAGAGTTGGAGGATGCCCCAATGTTGCAGAGAACTAGGATGACTGTCCAGGAAGCCTGATGTCCCTGTCATTAGGTAACATTTCATCTTTCTGGTGACTTTGATGAAGTTAGAAACCAAATAGTTAAACTTAAATTTTTCCTTAGTTATCATAAAAAGCAAATTAAGTATAAAACTTTAGACTCACACCAAGATAAGTTAAAGTATTTTCTCTATTTGTTAGATACTTATTTTAAAAATACAATTCTCATTATGTAGACAACTTTCGTTCTGTACCTAATATCAAAACATTTAAGTGCCAAAGGGTGGTGGGGAAAGCTTCCATTAGTTTTATTTACTAACAGAAAAACAGTCTCAGGTTTTAATAGTACCATTCACCTTCCTGGTCCATAAATAAGGCTCACTACAGAAAAGTTTGAAAGTTTGAAGCATGGGGGAAAATAAGCTTTAGAATGCCCACCACAAAGTCTTTATGGACACTCTATGAGACTTTCCTATGGAAAGTTATATATGCATGCAGTATTTTACAAAAACAGCTCTATGCTATAAATACCTGCAATACTTTTCATTTACTATAATCATGAACATTATGGAAATCACACCTCAAAATAGAAATGCAAAATAATTGTATTTATTCTTCATATACCTCACTGAAAGTGAGCAGTCTAACCACTGCACAAGCTCATTAGGGTCCAAGATCTGATTCCAACATTTTAAATGACAATTTCTCCATTTCACAATTACAAAAAGAAACTTATCAATAGTATCCTGAAGCTGAATGTCTAATACAAAGTCCAGCTCATCATTCTCAACTACAACAGCCACAATCACACCTCACTTACATACTGCCACCAGGCACTGCCTACATACTTCCCTTCGATTACTTGTTTAATTCTTTTTGTTTGGTTGGTTTTTGCCCCCCCCCCCCCCCAGGCAGGGATTCTCTGTGGTAGCTTTGGAGCCTGTCCTGGAACTCTGCTCTGTAGACCAGGCTGGTCTCCAACTCACAGAGATCTGCCTACCTCTGCCTCTCCAGTGCTGGGACTAAAGGTATGTGCCATCACCAACCAGACTTGTTTAATTCTTTTTTTGTTTTGTTTTATTTTGGTTTGGTTTGGTTTTTCAAGACAGGATTTCTCTATGGCTTTGGAGGCTGTCCTGGAACTAGCTCTTGTAGACCAGGCTGGTCTCGAACTCACAGAGATCTGCCTGCTTCTGTCTCCCAAGTGTTGGGACTAAAGTGCCCCACCACCGATGTATTTAATTCTCAACCCTAGGATCTGGGTGCCCTGTAAGGAGCACAGGTCTGCCTGGCATTGGTGGCGCACACCTTTAATCCCAGCACTCATGAGGCAGAGGCAGGGGGATGAATCTCTGTGAGTTCAAGACCAGCCTGATCTACAAGAGCTAGTTCCAGAACAACCCTCCAAAGCCACAGAGAAACCCTGTCTCGAAAAAACCCGGAGCACAGGTCTGTTACCATGTCTAAGAGAATACACACACACACACACACACACCACACACACACACACACACACACACACACACACACACACACACCCACCCACCCCTGAATACCAGAGTTTACTTCTGAACCAATGATTCCACATGCTGGTTTCCATCTCCTTTTGCCCTTTTTTGTTTACAGAAGCTAAGCATACCACAAATGCCCTAATTGTCTCAACGAAGGTGGCATAACCTACAATTCTGTGCCCAGAACGTACAGCAATGTGGTTAGGATTCCCTAAGGATAAAAACAGTCCTTCAACTGTCTTCTCTCTTAGTCACCTTTTGGTTTGACGACCTGTGGAGAATAGAGGATGCTCCTCAAGACTTCTCTCTGAGTAACACAGAACCAAGGCCGACACTGTTACTTGATGACATTGTTGTTCATACCTTTGCTGTGCCATACAAGGCACCCACAGAGCTTACCATCATCTGTAGGGAAACTGGATTTTTGGAGCGGCATTAAGGCCTCTAAGGAACTGAGTGTGGTGCTGACTCTATTCAAAGCACTCAGGAGGCAGAAGCAGGGGGAACTCTGTTGAGTTTGAGGTCAACCTGATCTACATAGTTTCCCAGGTCAACAAGAGCTAGAGAGACCCAGTCTCAAAACAAAACAGATCTCTAGGGTTGCAAGGACATTTTTAGCCCTATTGCCATGAAGACTAGTCTTGTATATGATTAAAACACTTTCAAAAAATGTTTAAACTGAAGATACTTTAAATTTAAAATACAATAAAAGTCAAATGTCTTTCATGATGTAGGTCAAAATTCGATAGTGCAGAGAAATCTGTGAACAAGTATTTTAATAACCTAACAGAGCAGAACAGAAGATGCTGGAATATCCTTCTATGAAACTTTTTTGTGTATCATTTTTTGTATGCTGTTTTATAGTATGCTACAGCTAGCGTATATAAAATAGTTCAACCTTGTGAGACAGAAATCCATGAAGATTCAGAGAGGTATATGTTAAGAAGTGACAAGCAGAAGATTGTGTGTTATGGCACGTGTTACAGGCTTTTGTATAGACTTCAGATGTACTCCTCTTGAACAGTCACTGGTTCATGAAAAGCGGTTTGAGAAACCTTAAGATACTTGACTATAAAAAGGAGCAGACTTTCTGGGGTCTGAAGGGATTTGTACTTGATGACACTCTGGTCAGGAGAGGGTCATGTTGAACATTCTGCAGACAGAACTGTTTCAAGTATGCAGCTGCCGGGGAAACCTTCACACAGTTGAACCCGGCTTCCAGCCCAAGTTGCTGAACCACCTCCTTCATGGCAGAGACGCTCCAAGAACCTGACATGGCGTGGCGCTCAGGACAGTCCTGGCGCTCAGGACACCCATGCCGACTTGTCAGTCCTTCCCAGTGAGGGGCAGCGGGTCCTTGTGTATGATTTTTAAAAACTATATTTAGACAGGCGGTGGTGGCACACACACTCGGGAGGCAGAGGCAGGTGGATCTCTGTGAGATGGAGACCAACCTGGTCTACAAAAGCTAGTTCCAGGACAGTCTCGAAAAACAAAAACAAACAAACAAAAAAAAAACAAAACTATATATATATATATATATATATATATATATAATTTGCATTGGTGTTTTTTGGGCATGTATGTCTGTGTGAGGGTGTCAGACTTTCAGTTACAGATGGTTGTCAGCTGCCATGTGGGTGCTGAGAATTGAATACGGGCCCTCTGCAAGAGCAGTCAGTGCTCTTAACCACCGAG